CCCCTCTATCCAGGATGCTCTCCACTGATTTTTAATGGCTTGCATCCTAACTTCAATCGGATCTCAGCTCAAAGTTCATTCCTAGTCATTCACTTGTTCATTCCAAATGGCAGGCACTTTGGAATGAACCAGAAAACAAAGCAAAGTTTCTGCTCTTGTGGGGAGGAAAGTACATTCTACTGGAGCAGGTAAATAATAAAATAAACACGGTGAAAATGAAGCTATGCTATCAAGAAAACAAAAGACTAGAAGGATAAAGGGGTTTCTACATTTGCTGGGGGGCTTTGGGATAAGATGAACTTTGTTTTTGCTCTACTGCTAATCAATCGCGTGGCCTGGGTGAGATCCTTCACCTTGCCGAGGCCACTTCTTTTGTGAAAGGAGTTGAAGATTCAGTGGGATGATGCAAGTGGCAGGGTTGGTAAATCCTACTTCCTTGTGCAAATGTGAGTGATTTCTGAGTCCCATGCAGGAAAGGGAGACTCAGGAGAGGAGCCGTGGGCTGAGATCCTGATGCAGGCAGGTTGGGTGTGGAGAGCCTATATATATATATATATATATCTACGAGAGAGAGAGAGCGAGATGGACTGAGCGTTCCGGAGACTTGGAAAGGAAAAGAGCATGAGTCTCGTCTTTTCTTGGGGTCTGGTGCACGTGTCTTCTCAGGCATCCAGGAAATAGTCAGAACAAGGATAGGATCCAGGTGTCCTTCATAAGTCACTCATTCCCTGAAGCCAGGGGGTCTTGGCCTGGAGATATCCAGTGCCAGTGGTCTGGAATAGGCACATGATGGTTCTGTCAGGTCATTCCCTAGGTATCACCTACTGTACTGGAAGCCTCCAAAGAGGCTTACTTACCTCTTTGTCCCTTACAAGGAGGACATATGCTTTTTGTATCAGGAGGCATGTGTAGAGTGGGGTGGGGGTGCAGGTCCTAGCAAGAATAAAAGCTGGAAAAGAAGCAAAGGGGGAAAAATGGCTTTGGGGGCGCCTGATTTTGATTTTGGCTCAGGTCATGATCTCAGAGTCCTGGGATAGAGCCCCGCCTCACCCGGCAACAGGCTCCCCGCTCAGCGGGGAGTCCGCTTCAGGAGTCTCTCTCCCTTTGCCCCTCCCGCTCGTGCTGTCTCTCTAATAAATCTTAAAAACAAACAAAAACAAAACAAAAAACCCGGCTCTTTTTCATGGGGTCCCTGCAGTTTCCCTGCCTCAATCCTAGTCCAACTGGAAGCAACCTCCCAACTAGTACTATGGAAAACTGCTATGATCGCTGCTTCTAGGAGAGCCTGGGATTAAAAGAGAGAGAGAGGTCTTCCCTTTGGGATGTGATTCTAGTGACTTGGAGGTCTCAGTGGGGAGGAACAACGCCCAGCTCCCAGCCTCCGCCGGTCCCCCTGAGTTACTCAAGGCAGAGCTTTCTGGCCGGAGTCGCCCGTAAAGTTTTACGTCACTGGGATCAAGCCAATCACGTCTTTAAACTCACCAATCGGCGTATACTGACGGCGGAAACGAGGCCGCCCTAGCCAATGACAGAGGCCGTACGGCGGAAGTGTAGAAATGGTCTCTCGGGAAGATGGCAGCCTCGGTCCGGCCAAAAATTGATGGGCAGGTGCAGTGACCAGAAGGTAAGTCTCACAGCACGAGCGGCCGTTCGGAGGCTGAGGCACGAAGGAGCTGCTCGCCGAGCTCAGGGAGAGGTCGGAGGCACAGATAAAGGTCTCTGGAGAGATTGGAGAAAGGGCGGTTTCGGAGGGGGACGCTGAGGTAGGCGGGGTCTGGCCGGAGAGCGGGGACGCCCGGAAGGGGCGGGGCCTGCGGTGGGGCGGGCGGGGCTTTTGGAGATCGGGAGCCGGGCCTGGAGACAAGGCCCGGGTTGGGAGCAGCTAGGGGCAGGGTTTATGGGGTGGGCGTGACCATGAGGTCGGGCTTGGGGCGGGGCCTAAAGGGACCCCGGGCAGAGCTGGAGAAGGGAAGGGTTTGGGGGGCTTGGGCCTGGTCTGCGGGAGCCTCATCTAGCGGGGTTCCGACGCGGCGGCGGCAGCATCAGAGCAGGCCCTGCCCCCCGATCTCATTCCGATCCCTTTCTCCCCTGTCGTCCCCCAGCTCTAGACTCCAGGCCCTGTCCCCTGAGCTCTGCCCTCTTATGTCCACCGTCCACAGCCTGCATGCGCCGTGGGGCGCCCCAGGACCAGGAGCTGGTGGGCCCGGGGGCTCCTGGGCGGGGGTCCCGGGGCGCCCCTCCTCCCTCGGGACTTGTCCCGGTCCTCGTCTTTCCCCCGGACCTAGTATTCAGGGCGGACCAGCGGAGCGGACCCCGGCAGCTGCTGACCCTCTATAACCCCACGGGAGCTGCGCTTCGCTTCCGAGGTGAAGGGATGGGTGCCTCATGCCAGGGATCTGGGTCTGGCGGCAGGACACTGCGGGGCTGTGTGGGCTGGAGGAGTGAGATGAGTGGGGTCAGACAGCCAACCTTGGCGGACTGGAAGAGTCATGTCCAGCCCTGGGGTAGAAGGGAAGGGGGACTCTAATGTCCCTCCACCGGCAAGCTTGTCTCTGAAGCAATAGTCGGTCTGTGTGTGCCTTTATCCCTCAGTCCTGTGCACAGCACCTGCCAAATACACGGTGTTTGACGCAGAAGGATATGTGAAACCTCAATCCTGCATTGACATGTGAGTGAGGAGGGTAGCCAGGGGTCGCTGCCACCTTTGTCTGAATTACCGTGCCGGAGTCAATAGGGCTCAGACCTGGTTCTTGGCAACCTTTTTCCCCACCTCTGTCTACATCCCTAAGGGAAAGGCTCCTGGGAGGCGGGGCCTGGATCCACTTGGATCACTGCCTGTTACTCACTTCCTCTCAATGGGTCTCTCTCCTATTTTGGGACAGTGTGATTCGCCACGTGGCCCCCATTCCCAGCCACTATGACATCCAGGACCGCTTCCGCATTGAGCTGTCTGAGGAGGGAGCTGAGGGTCGAGTGGTGGGGCGCAAGGACATCACCTCAGTTCTGAGGGCCCCAGCCTACCCCCTTGAGCTTCAGGGACAGCCTGACCCAACACCCCACCCAGGGCCTCCTTCCTGGACAGCACCACCCACGGCCAGACACTTCCCAGAGAGTGAGTTGGAGGATGGGAATTCTTTTTTTCTTTTTTTTTTTTTTTAAGATTTATTTATTCATTTGAGAGAGCGAGAATGAGAGAGAGAGAGAGTACATGAGAGGGGGGAGGGTCAGAGGGAGAAGGAGGCTCCTCGCTGAGCAGGGAGCCCAATGCGGGACTCGATCCCGGGACTCCAGGATCATGACCTGAGCCGAAGGCAGTCGCTTAACCAACTGAGCCACCCAGGTGCCCATGGGGGATGGGAATTCTTGAGTTCTTGAGCATTACCCTAGAGATGCGCTCAGTTGGAGTTGAGGGGGTCTTCTGGTTCCGTCTTTTGCTTTTTGGGAGAAGCATTCCTAGGAGTTCAGATTTTATATCAGGTTAGGCAAAAAAGCAGACTTTGTAGTTTCCTTGGTTTCTGGCTTCTACCTAGAGGGAAAAGTTCTTCCTTAGCTCTAACTTCAGTACTTCCCATCATGTGCCAGCTCAGCTCAGTTCCATAAGAAACCCATACCAAGTTGTGGGCTGCATATGGGAGAGAGAGTCCCTTGCCTGATGGACATGTACATAGGAGCCAATACTGAAGGCAGGGTGAAGAGAAAAAGTGCTGAGGGACCGGAGGGGAGAGGGTCTCTTGTGGCCTTGGGGACAGAGGCTCCAGGGAGGAGGGGATACTTGCAGTATGCCCCCTGGATGGCAATAAAAATACACCTCCCATCTTCAGCGTCCTCCCTGGAGGACCCTGGGCTGGGCAGGAGGGGGGTGGAGCTCCTGATGAGCCTTGTTTCCCAGACCGCCCCCCACAACTGGCCACCAGCTCCTTCCTCCTCTTCTTGCTGACGGGCATAGTCTCTGTGGCCTTCCTGCTGCTCCCACTCCAGGACGAGCTTGGCAGCCAGCTGCCCCAAATCCTGCACGTCTCCCTGGGACAGAAGTTGGTGGCAGCGTACATCTTGGGTGAGCACAGTAGTGGCCAGGGGCGTGGGGGCCTAGGAGGAAGGCTAGCAGAGCCCCAGCGCTGCTCACCACCAGCTTGCTGTCCTCTCTCCCCTCTCCAGGACTCCTCACCATGGTGTTCCTTCGGACCTGAGCTCCCTGCTCAACCTCCCCCCACCTCCTGGGGCAGGGACTTGGACGTGCACATGAGACAGCCACTCTGATGCTCATGCCTCGCCTCAATTCCTCCTCCTCTTCTTCCTGCCCATCCGCCCTCCCCCAGGCACCCAGGGATTTATTAATTTTCCAAATTGAATAAAATAAATTTTTAAAATTAAACTGAGAAATGGAGGGAGCAGCCCCTTTCTTCCCACTTCTTTCCTCCAGTTCCTCCTCCCAGCTGCAGGGGACCCAGGAATGAGGGGGCAGTCAAGGGGCCCAGTGAGGATACAGAAGACCTGGGTTCTAGTCCTGGTGCCACACCGGGAAAACCGTGTGACCTTGAGCAAGTCATTGAACTTCTCTGAGGTTCTATTTCCACCTCTAAAATGAGGGAATTGGGCAAGCAGATTTTTAAGGGCCCCTTTAGCCCCCCAAATAGGGTCCTATCCCTAAGCTGATATACTTAAACTACAAAGTTTAAGTATAAATCCTGCTTGATCCGCCTACTGCAGACATCATCTCATAGTCTTGAGCCATCAGAGCCTCTTGCCAGGGTTGCCTAGATGCTTCCAATACCCAGAATCCTTTTCTGCTTCTTGACCCTTTATCTGCCCTATTTTGTCTCTCCCTTTAAGACTTCAGCTCGGGCGCCTGGGTGGCTCAGTTGGTTAAGAGACTGCCTTCGGCTCAGGTCATGATCCTGGAGTCCCAGGATGGAGTCCCGCATCGGGCTCCTTGCTCAGCAGGGAGTCTACTTCTCCCTCTGACCCTCCCCCATCTCATGCTCTCTCTATCTCATTCTCTCTCTCAAATAAATAAATAAAATCTTTAAAAAAAAAAAAAAAAAAAGACTTCAGCTCCAGTGGATCAGAAACACCAAGGTCCCCTGCCAAGACTGGGGGAAATGGCATTACCTGACATTACCTCAACTTAACCAGGCAGGAGAAACTAAGGCACAGGAAAAGAATAGGATCCTCGAAAGGTATGTGTCCAGCCCTTTTTCAGATTCAGGGCAAGGGAGAAGAAAGGAAGGGGGGCAGCCAGTGACACTGGCAGTTTGTTGATTGGGGACAAAAATCAACAGGATAAGACTCAGTCTGTTCTCTGCTTCTGCTGTCACATCTCCATTACCCACCTCTGTTCCTCTTGCCTCCTTTTAAAAGGACCCTAGTGATTACATGTCCCCCCTCCCCCAGTCCAGGATAATCTCCCTATTAGTTTGCTAGGGCTGCACAGAAGCGGGGGAGGCTTAAATGGCCAAAATTAATTTTCTCACAGTTCTAGAAGCTAGATGTTCAAGATTAAGGTGTCAACAGATTGGATTTCCCCTAAAGCCTCTTTGACTCCCCTCTGCATACACATCCCTGGTGTCTCTCTGTGTCCTTTTTTTTTTTTTTTTAATTTTTTTTTTTAAGACTTTATTTATTTGCGAGAGAGAGAATGAGAAACAGAGAGAATGAGAAACAGAGAGCATGAGAGGGAGGAGGGTCAGAGGGAGAAGCAGACTCCCTGCTGAGCAGGGAGCCTGATGTGGGACTCGATCCCGGGACTCCAGGATCATGACCTGAGTCAAAGGCAGTCGCTTAACCAACTGAGCCACCCAGGCACCCTGTCCTTTTTTTTTTTAAGATTTTATTTATTTACTTGAGAGAGAGAGCACAAGCAGGGAGAGGCAGGTAGAGAGAGAAGCAGGCCCCCTGCCGAGCAGGGAGCCTGATGTGGGGCTCAAACCTAGGACCCGGAGATCATAACTCAAGCTGAAGGCAGACACTCAACTGACTGAGCCACCCAGGCGCCCCCATTTACTTATTTATTTATTTATTTTGTTTTTTAAAGATTTTATTTATTTATTTGACAGAGACATAGTGAGAGCAAGAATACAAGCCGGGAGAGTGGGAGAGGGAGAAGCAGGCTTCCCACCGGGAAGCTCAATCCCAGGACCCTGAGATCATGACCTGAGCCGAAGGCAGACGCTTAACAACTGAGCCACCCAGGCACCCCTATTTATTTATTTTTTAAGTAGGCTCCACACCCAGTGCGGAGCCCAGCGTAGGGCTTGAACTCACGATCCTGTGATCAAGACCTGGGCTGAGGTCAAGAGACAGGCCTCTAACTGACTGAGCCATCCAGACTCCCTTGTGTCAATTTTTCTTAGAAGGACACTAATCAGATTGGATTAGGCTCACCCTAATGGCCTCACCTGAACTTAAGGCCTGATCTCCAGATACAGACTGAGGTACTGGGGGTCAGGCTTCAACATATGGATTGGGGGGGGGTATATTTCAGCTCAAAACACTCCCCATCTCAAGATCCTCAATTTAATCACATCCACAAAGTCCTTTTTGTTGTGTAAGGTAACATTCACTCACAGGTTTCGGGGATTAGGACGTGAACATCTTTTTCCAGACCATTAGTCTGTGTGCTACAAGGAGCAAATGGACAAAGTGAAGGGCTGAGAAACCACTTTGGGAAATTTGTTCTGAACAGTATGTCAGAGAAGCAAATAGTTGAGGAGGTTTCTGACCCTGGTCCAGGCTCCTGAGAACCCAGTCAGGCTCAGAGGGGGCTCAAGGAGGGGGCAGGGGGAGAGGCAGAGTTTCATCCTGGAACCAGGGTAGGACCTGTCATGCCATATTGGGAGCAAAAGAGGACTGAGTAGCCCAAAGCCCAGCCCTAGGATTTATGCAGTTGCCCTGGGAGTGAGAGCCAGGGCTGCAGCCTCCTCAGATGTGGAGAGACAGCATTCCTACTTGTATCTTCTCTGGCCCTTCTGCCCGTCTCAAGGGAGGAATGACTGGGTGGAGTGAGGGTAAGGAAGAAGCATAAAGGTGTTTATAAACAACAGATGCCACCAGGTGGTTTATTAAGGTCCAAACCCCAGCCCCTCCCGCCACAGACCACCTGTTGGGGCTATAGGCTGTGGTTCCAGCCCTTCTCCCACCAAGGGGGCTGGCCACGTCCCAGGACCAAGGAAACCTTCCAGAGACATCACTAGGTGTGGGGGACCCCTTTCCCGACGGGGAAGGGGCTGTGTGATGAGGAAGCGGGTGCTCTCAGATTGGCTGACAGTCTGGCGGGCCCATTGTGGAAGGCACCGCTCACCTACTCCTACACTGCAGAGCCCGGGTGTGGGTGTCTGCGCTGGCATCTTGGCTGGGCCCCTTGCAGAGACGGGAAGGGCTTATGAGAGATCGGTCAGCAACGACAGGTTGGTACTAGGCACCTGCATCACCCAGAAATCACTCTAACGGGAGAGCAGGAGCTCCGGGCATATGCCAACCCCCCCCCCCCCCCCCGCCCCGCGGACCTCAGAAGTTGTTATCGATGTTCCAGACATCCCCGCTAAGTGCGTTGGCGGCCCCCTGCAGCGTCCAGGTGAGAAGGGCCAGCTGGCGTCGGAAGCGGCTCTCCTGGAAGCCCAGGCCCGGAGCCACCCCGGAGGAGGCGGCCCCTGGGTCTCGGGAGCCGCCCGAGCGCAGCAGCCGCACGTGGTCGAGCAGCGCGCCCAGCGTGTGGTCTCCGCGGCCCAGGAAAATGTGGCGGAACGGGGAGTCGGCCGGCGACACGTACTGGGACAGGAAGTAGAACTCCACCTGCACCAAGAAGGGAATCAGGTCGGGGTGCGGGGCTCTGCCGGGAGCGCGGGCCGGAACAGCAATTCCTTACCTAGTCCGCGCCTAGCGTCCATTGCAGAGCAGCTGCCTTAAGCCCCACCTCCCTTCGGCTACCCAATCGGGAGCGGCCATTCTTTGACGTCACCAGCAGCTGGGTAGGATGCGTCCTCCTGCTGTGTTTTGGGTTCTATCCCGTTCTTTCTAAGCTTTGAGCCTCCAAGCCTGCAACCACGTCTCCCCAGTCTTCCCTCTTCGCCTAGTCACTTACTCGGCTGAAGCCTCAAAGGACAGTCTATGGTCCTGCTGTTCCTCACTTTCCTACACCCCACGCATTCCCCCTCACCACCACCAATGTCCACAGCCCAGAGTCAAAGGTCAAAGGGACCGGTCAGTCCTAATGAAGTGCCTGACTCTCTGTCCTCCCTGCATAACTCAGATGCTGTTCATCTTTCCTGAGATGGCAACTCTACTAGCCCGATTCTCCCACCTTTCTTCCACCCTCTGTGGTTCCTTCTGCTCCCACCTGTGGTTCCTTCTGCTCCCACCTTTGGGCAGGCCCAAGGCTCAACCTCCACCCTCTGTTCTCCTCACCTACACTCCAGTTGTTTTCAAGCCTGGCTGTGTATTAGAATCACTTGGGGAACTTTTTAATGACCGTTGTGTGGGTGCCTCCCCAGCAACATCGGAATCTCTCCATCTTTCACTCCAAGGGTTCATCCATGTCCCTGGCTGCAGTCAGGACCTCGTGGGGATAACTGCCAAGCCTACTTGACAAATCATCCACTGGAATCCTGCCCTCCACCCTTCTGACCTCCCCACTGGGTAAGAGGGCACCTTACCAGCCTCACACACAGCCCTTGGTAAATGGCAGCTGCTATGGTTTTCCTCCTCCTCTTCCCGCAACACCCTTTCTGTCCATTTTCCTTCATTCCAGTCCCCTCACCCACAGGTGGCCTCTACTACCACCTGCCACTCTCATCCAGAGCTCGGTCTTCGCTAACTTCAATTCCCTCTTCACCATTTACAGTCTGGCCAAATCCTTCCTAAAACTCCACTTCGCTCACATCACTACCCTGCTCAACCACCTTCCTAATTTCCTTGATGCCCATCCTGGCATTCAGGGCTCCCCATAGGTGATCTCTAGCCCACTGTTTGGTGCCCCTCTCCCCTCTGCTTCTCCCCAGGCTTCTGCTCTGGCTCTGCTGGTCACACCCTACTCCCAAGGACAGCCAGGCCTACTTCCCCACCACACCCTTATCTGGGTCTCTCCACTCTGAAATGTCTTTTCTTTGCACCAACCCAAGTTCTGTCCATTCTTCAAGACCAACATCATAGTCTAAAGCTGGGGTTAGCAAACTTTTTCTGCAAAAAGCCAAGTAGTAAATATTTTTGTCTTTGTGGGCCATATTGTTTCTGTTGCAAACACAACTTGGCCGCCGTAGCTGGCCCAAAAGCAGCCATAGACAATATAAAAATCAATGAGCATGGCTGTGTTTCCATAAAACTTCATTCGCAGAAACAGGCAGCAGGCCAAGTTTGGCCCACTGGCAATCGTTTACCAACCCCTGGTCTAGAGCCACAAAGTTCCCTGGGTCTGGCCCAGCTCTGTGCGGCTGGTTCTGAAGCCTGGAATCTTTTACTCTCCAGCCCTGAGTCTGAATCCAGCCCTTATGCACAGATGCCCTTTATTCCCTGGGGGCGGGGGAGGGGGGGAGGGAGGCATGTGGCAACTTAGGGGGTTGGGTGAGGGGAGTATATTTTTGTGTTCCTGGAGTCTGGGACAGCAGGGGTTAAAGCAAGATATGTGAATGAGAATGAACCAGGCCCAACCTCTTGTCTCACCTGCAGGATCACTGATGTCTCAGTGGAGGGGACAAAGGGAAGGAGAGGTGGAGAGATCAGGAAGTGGGGGAGGAAGAGGAAACTGCAGAGAGAGGAGAATGAGGGGGATCAGGAGAAAGGAGCAAGGATGAAAGAGCAAGAGGGGTGGGTTTGTGAACAGAAGGAAGGAATGAGCCATGCCAAGGGAAAGAGGCAGGGACTCAAAGAGGAAAAAAAAGGGGGCAGACATGTTCCAAAACCATGGTCGTGCATACACTATGGGTTCCCTGTCCACCCTACACTCACAGAGGATGATCCTGTTTCTAATTTCGCCCTGTAGACTTATCCCCACGCTCACAGTCCCTACTTATCCCATTTCCCAAAATCAGTGGCCAGGTTGAGTTCTTGGAGTAAAGAAATGGAAGGAAGTGGAGGTGTTGGAACAGGAGATGGAGTGTGGGTTGCAAAGTATTCAAAACTAAGCAGGAGGAATGGGCCAAGGACTAAGGTCTTGTATAACTTTATGTGACACCTCCCCCAGGCAGCTTCTCTGGGTTTCACCCACCTTATTACCACAAGGAAGAGAGCTCTCCTTGCTCTGAATTTCTTAAGCCTTTGCCCCTCCTGGGCCATAAGCTTGGGCCTCTTGTACTGTGGACAATCGTGTACATGCTTTTTCCCTCCAGATGGGTGAGTAGGCAGTGGAGGGCTGGGTGTGTGTTTGGAGGGCGGGGGGGGGGGGGTTCCCAGTTCTGCCACGTGATCTGCCAAACGGACGGCCCAGCAGCCAGCCCTCCCTGTCAGTTTTATCACTTTGCGGGGCCTCAGTGATCGCTCCAGCCTGGCCGGTGTGTGAGCGCTGAGCCCAGGACTGGGGGCCGGAGGACAGGGACGAAGTAAAGGCGGAGACCGGGGACAGCGCGCAGGACAGGCCTGTCGACTCCAGCCACCCAGCCACCGGGAGACGCGGGGTAGGGGGCGCGGGGGCGCGGGGCGGGGGCGGGGCCTCACCCGCATGATGCGCACGTTGTACATGCGCATCAGCCTCTCATCGCTCTCCTCCGAGCTGTAGATCTCCTTTCGCAGCTTCTCCGCCGCCCGGATATAGTCCCCCCGCGCCGAGTACACCCACTGGAGGGTCAGCCCGCGGGCCTGGGGGTGGAGATGCAGGCTGGGGCCGGACACAGGGGCCAGGACCCCGGCCTAGGCTGGGACCCCAGGGCTGGCAGGAGGAGGGGCTATAAGGGGACGGGATGCTGGGAGAGGGGAGAAGACCTGGGCGGTTGGGAGGGTACCAGCTGGGTCCTAAGGCAGGAGTCGAGGGGCCAGGTTGCCAGAGGGGACTAGACCCTAAAGACTGTGGGGAGGAGGGGCCCGACCTCTGGACTGGGCAACACTTTGAGGGGATATAGCTCCCCCCACCCCCAGGAGCCAGGAGCAGGGTTGGTATCTTGGACCTTCAGGTCCCCAGAGAACTCGTTGAGGCTGCCGATGTGCCTGAGGACCACGTCCCCATAGCGGCCGAAGTCCAGAGGCAGCAGGTGATCGTGGCTGAGCCGGATGAGGAGCTGCCCAGCGAGCTGGGCCACAGCCTGGGCCACGGCGGGCAGGCGGCCCCGCAGCACCCTGTGTAGGTTCTCGTATGTGTCGTCCTTCGTGTGCAGGAACGGGTACGCCTGGCCATCCTGCCGGGACAGGGCGTGGGCTGGCGCAGGGGCACAGTGCAGACAGGCAGAGGGGCTGCTGCTCTGGGGCAGGGCCAGGAAGTCTCACCTCCAAGAAGGAGAACTCAACGGCAGGGACCCCCGCAAAGGCCGTGAAGGAGTAGGCACTGCTGTCCATGGGCAGTGGCCGGATCCTGGGAGTGGGCAGGTGGGAGGGCTCTGTGGGTTGGGGCTCCCCCCACAGCTGTCCTCCCTCCCTCCCTCCCTCCCTCCTGGCCCCAACTTACACTTCAGCATCCCAGCTGTGATTGTTGAACACCACCTGCTCATAGAGGGTCTGCCCACTGCGGTTAGGAGAGTCCACCTGGGGGGCAGGGTAGGGGGCACCGGTCAGGCTCTGGCCGCCACCAGCTTCCCTTCATCCCCGGCTCCTGGCCAGCCTCTTGCCTGCTTCAGGATGTTCTCTATGAGGCTGATCAGAAGGGGGCTGGTCTTGGCATGGAACTTGTCGTCTCCTGCAGAGGGGGAGGAGAAGGGATGCCAGACTCAAGGCTGGGCCCCGCGGCCAGGTGCACCAGAGGGGCCCCAGTGGGTGGCCCCGCCCCCACTCACCCAGCACTGCATTGTCCAGGCTCACGTAGACCACGGCTTTGAGGTGCAGCACGCTGAGGTAACCCTGGGGGTGAGGGGCGTGGAGTTTAACCCCCCACCTCTTCCCACTGCCTGACTCCCTGCCCTGGACCCCACATTACCTCCAGCCACTCTGTGGAGCCCACACTCCCAAAGTCACCTCCGTCCCAGCTGATGAAGAGAAGACTCCTTCGGGGCTGGAAGCCTGGAAGCAGAGCGGGTCAGGAGGACGGGCCCCTCTGGAGGCCAAGCAAAGACCCATCTTTGTCTTCTCCTGTCCTGCGGCCCTGGGCTCCCTCCATCCTTCCCGCCAAGCCCCCTGCCCAGCCCGCCTCAGCCGGTCTGCCCCGACTCCACTATCACAGTGTGGAGCTTGCTTTCACATGGAGTCTCCTGCTTAATGCTTCACTCAGACCAAGGACTATGACTGCAGCTGACCCTTGAACATGAGTTTGAACTGCTTGGGTCCACTTACATGCAGATTTTCTTTTTTCTTTTTTTTTTTTTTAAAGATTTTATTTATTTATTTGACACACAGAGAGAAAGCACAAGTGGGCAGAGAGACAGGCAGAGAGAGAGGCAGAAGCAGGCTCTCCACTGAGCAGGGAGCCCGACGCGGGACTTGATCCCGGGACTCCAGGATCATGACCTGAGCCGAAGGCAGTCGCTTAACCGACTGAGCCACCCAGGCGCCCCCTACATGCAGATTTTCAACCGAGCGGAGAAGTCGGCTCCCCTAACCCTGGTGCTGCTCGAGGGCCAACTCTACTCTCATATTTGGATGAGGAAACAGAGGTAAAGCGACCTGCCCGGGGCCATGCGGCTGGGACGTGAGGAAGCCAGTGTTGGAGCCCAGGTCTGCGTGGCCGCCCTCTAGCCTGTGCTCTTGACTGCCTCTCTGCCCTGTGCTGCCTCAGGCCACAGCCCCAGCTGCCCGGCCCAGGCCCTGACCTTACCATTGCTCACCATGGAGGAAAAGGTCCGCGCCAGCTCCAGCAGTATGGCCGTCCCCACAGCGGACTTGGCCGCTCCTGGGCCCCACGCATCCCTCTGGGCCCCGATGACAACATAGTGATCTGCGGGAGGGGAGGCTCTTGGGGTCCATGTTCGTACACTGGCAATACCCAGAGACTACCTGGGAGGCTGCGTGCTCGAGGGGCCTTGCCTCCATTTCCCAGCCCCGCCCCCACCACTCTCCACCTTCCAGCCCCTCACATCTCTGCAGCCCCAGCCCTGCGATCCTTGCTGTCCTTCAGGAGAGTGCCCCCTTCCCCTCGGCCCTGCCTGGATGGCCTGCTCCTTCAGCGGGGTGCCTGGCCTCATGCTGGATTCCATCACCTCCCTGGTCAGCCATGTCCCTCACAAGTCCTGACAGGCTTTCCTCCTTCATGCTTCTCTCTAATCCACCCCCACCCCTTCTCCAGCATTCTCCTCTGAGCTGCATCACGGCCCCCCTGCATCTCTCCCTCAGGGCTTGTAGGTACCACACTCTTCGGCTCAAGAACCCACTTTGATTGCCCACTGCCATCCGTGTCTACTTAGGCTTGAAAGGTTCATCTATCTCATCAGAACTCCCGTTCATGCTATATCACCCAACTCATGCTTGCTCACCTCCAGTGCTAGGGAACTCACTACTGTGCCAAACTACCCATCCTGTCTCTGGACAGATTTGACCATGGGATCTACTCACTGCCATCCCCCCTCAGTCCCAGATCAGCCTCAACTTGCCAGCCTCCCTCCCTGCTCAGCCCTGCCACCCCCTCCACTGGGCACCACTCTTGCCCACTCCCCTGGGCCTCCTGCTCCAGCCCCATCTCTAGCCAGGGTTCATGAGTGGCGACTCCCCTCCTGCCGGCTGCGGGTGACGCTGGGCAAGCTGGCACACCTGGCTCTGAGCGGCCCTCGATGCAGCCAAAGATGTTGCTGATGGGGGTGGAGACCCTGTGGTTGTTGACCCCGAGGTGCAAGCCTGGCCCAGGGCCCAGGCGATAAGGGGAGCCTGGGAGGCGCCCCTGCCATTCCTGGGGAGCCACAGGGCCTTGGAGCTTCCTGGAGAGAGGTGGGGCAGAAAGGGTCGGAAGTGGCACAGAGGCCCAGGCTATAGAAGAGCCCAGAGATCCCTCTTTGCTCTTTCCCTCCCACCTTCTGGCTCCAGCTCTACTTCTGCACTCTGCCTGCTGCCTTGGACAGTTGTGCAGGTTGTGTCGTCCTCAAAGTGAGGCTGGGCCCACTCAGAAGATCCATCTTTTTCTAGTGCACCCAAAAGCACTTTACAGGCTAGCTACACCTCCCTTCCTCCTCCCCTCTTGGCCCCCACAGGCCCCTCACCTCAGCAGGAGGGAGGCAATGTCCGCACTGATGGGCTGGGCGGGGATGTTAGGGAGGCCGGAGGACTGGACTGGAGGGAACTGGGTTTGATTAAAGGAAGGGAAGCCAGGCGTGTAGGGGTCCCCAGTTCCCAGGTGCACCTGTGAGGAAACGGGTGTCCACACCGAAGCTGTGAGCTGGGCTCCGAAGACTAGCCTACCGGCCCCATCCCAGACAAAGAGGTCCAGACCCCAAGAATCTACTGCTGGCTGCCCCCAGACTCACATGTCCATACACAGCTCTGTGGCTGGACAGGCCGGGCTTGTGTGGATCCTGGGAGAAGTCTGCTGGATCAGGGTATATGAGCACTCCTCGGGCCCCAAAGTCCTGGGCACTGGCCACCTGGGGAAGGGAAGTGGCTAACGGACTCCTTCTCCCAGAGAAAACCGATTTGTAAGGGCAGGAGAAGCAAGGAAAAGTGAAGTCGCACTGCTTCCACTCCGCTTTCATGGAGCCACAGTGAGGCTGTGGGCACCACCTGACCCGCATCTTCCCGCCTTCCCCCAGTGCCTTGGCATCCCTCAAACCCCAGTGGCCTCTGCATTCCTCCGTGTTCGTCCCCCATGCCAACCTCCCGATTTTGTTTCCCGCCAGCATTTTCTTACGACCCGCTTGGTTCTTTCTTTTCTCTCTCCGACAGCCTCCTAGACGCTTCCCATCTGCCGCTATCCTATCTTCGCGTTCCCCGGCCCCGCACCCTCCCGGTTCCACGCCACCCCCCCATCCAGGGACCCTCACCTTTTGGGCGAAGCTGATCTCCCCCAAGCGCACCAGCAGGAGGCGCCCCGCCGGCTCCACGCCCCGGGCCCGCAGGTCCTGCAGGTCCTCCGGCCGCCCGTAGTGGGCGTACACCAGCTCTCCCTGGGGATGGGGAGGACGGTGAGGCGTGCTCTCCGGGTCCCTCCTCCGCCACCCGCGAAAGGGCGCTCGCTGCCCCTGTCCTGGGGGTGGGACAGGGGGCGCTCACCGTGGCATTGCCCGTGGCACTGTAGGGACAGTAGACGTCGTGGTCCTCCAGCGGCAGGGGCTCCCCGAGCTTCCCAGCCTCACCGACCCAGTGCAGGGTATTGGGATGAGCCCTGAGGAGCAGAGGTGGTGAGCGCCCCCCGCGCGCCCCCCGCGCGCCCCCCGCGCGCCCCCCGCGCGCCCCCCGCGCGCCCCCCGCGCGCCCCCCCGCGCGCCCCCCGCGCGCCCCCCGCGCGCCCCCCGCGCACTCACGGGTCCGGAAACTGCAGCCCCACGTAGTGCGTGTCCATCCACACGTGGTCCAGCTTTTGGCTCGAGAGCGCCCCCCGGACGTCCTGAGCCAGAGCGGCCATCCCGGCTGAGCCAGCCATCCTTTTCCGAAGGCTGGTTTGCCTGAACGGGAAGAGGTGGGATTGGGGCGCGGAAGGGGAGAGGGACTTCTGGGCGCCTGGAGGAAAGGGGGGGGGGTCGCCCTGGGCCCTGGACGGTGAGGGGCTCCTAAGTCTCTCCCTGACCCCTGCCATCGCCATCCATCCAGTCACCACCCGGGCTGTCACTAAGGCCGCCTCCTTCTGCTTAAAGCCTTAGTTTCCGATAGCGTGGTGTCCTGCCCACCATCCCTTAGGTTTTTCCTGGCCCAGGCCAAACTCACCAATCTATCGACTGCCCGTGCACACACACACACACACACATGCACACAGGCCTGTGCTCTGCCCCACGCATGGAAACGCTTTTCTTCCAAAGGACTAAGTGGGCAGAGGCGGCCCTCCCATCTCCCCTGTCCTCCAGCTGCGCCTCACGGAGACATCTTACACTATGGTTACTGATATGATCGCGGGGTCCCTTGTCTTGGAGACCTCACCCTGTCTTCTTCCATAGTCACCACCTAACTGAGCCTGTTGTACCCTGAGCTCCCCCTGTTCTTCCATCTCACCCCGCCACAGGCTGCCCCCACATGACCTCCCTGCCAATAGGCTTCACTTGGGCCCTCTCCAAGGCAGACTCCTCCCTCCTCCACAGCCTCATTGAATACCCCTCCACCTTTTGCCTTGGCGGAAACCCAAGCTGTCCCTTGAGAGGCCGGGTCTCCTATGGGGTCTCGAGCTCAGGAAAGAACTCAGGTTCTCATACTACCTGGGCTTGGAGCCGAGGCAGGCTCCCGGCTCCACTGTTGGAATTTCTGCCCATTTCTCCTCCAGTAAACCTTGCTTCCGCTGAAGCCTTTGCCATCCAGCTCTCCCCTCCTCTACCCCTCTTCCAGCCAGTTTGTCACTTGTCCACTTTCATCAAGGACTTTGGCATCTGGCTTAGCATTTTCCTCTCCACACCATGGTCCCCTCACTCTGTGCTGCCACTTCAAAATCCACGTGCAGGGTGCGCCTTAGTCTCAGCCTCCACCCCTCAGCTCTCAAGAAGACCCCTGCACCCCAGGACTCCATGGTCGCTGTGGCTTTCTCAGTACCGTTCCTGCAGTCCTCTCCCATCCCGATCCAGGAAAGCGAGCATTTGTTTGAAACTGCACCTGTCCGGGCGCCTGGGTGGCTCAGTCCGTTAAGCTGCTGCCTTTGGCTCAGGTCATGATCCTGGGGTCCTGGGGTCCTGGGATTGAGCCTCCCCTCGAGCTCCCTGCTCAGCGGGGAGTCTGCTTTTCCCTCTCCCTCTGCCCATGCCCATGCTCATGCTCTCCCTCTCTCTCTCAAATAAATAAATAAATAAAATCTTTAAAAATAAATAAATAAAATCTTAAAAAAAAAAAAAGAAACTGCATCTGTCAGGGTGTTCGTAAAATGGATGATGCACACTGTGGATTCCTGTGCCTGACAATAAATTTGATGTACACACTGCAATACAGACAGACCTTGAAAACATTGTGTTAAGTTAAAAAAAAAGTTTATCAAAATTAAAAACACACACTAAAGATAGCTATATCTGAGTAATACATCTTGGATTTCTTTTTTTTTTTTTTTTACACTTTCCACTTTATAATTTTCCATATGGCTTAACTTTTAAAATAATGAACAGAGGATTTTATACAAACATTAATGTTTTTGAAAAATCTACATATGCACATAAAACATTATATATATGGCAAAGCCACGTGTGAATTTAAAGGCACACATCAAACATCAGATGAGGTGCTTCTGGGGGAGGGGATGGAAAAGAGTGCTCAGGGCTAGGGAGGGAAATTAAATAAAAAAGCCCTTGGGGGGGGGGGCCTGGCTGGCTCAGTCAGTGGAGCATGTGACTCCTGATCTCAGGGTTGTAAGTTTGAGCCCCACTTTGGGTGTGGAGATAACTTAAAAATAAAATCTTTAAAAAACCAAACCAAACCAAAAAAAGCCCTTCACTGAGACACTGAACCACTGCGTCAGGAGTATCATAAACTCTGGTCTTTGCACCGACCTTAAAAAACAAAACAAAACAAACCCCTCCCCCTACATCTGATCATGATTCTCTAGTGTTTTAAATTCTTCATTTCTCTCTTCCCTCTCAGAATAACATCCAAAGCAGTTTGTGTAGCCATTAAGCCCTTTTATGGCCCCGGCCATATCCACCTTGTCACTGCAGCTCCCCGGGGTCATGGGTCAAAATCCAAGCTCCATCATGTGGCATTCAAGACTTCTCTGGGTCTGTTCCACTGCCTGTCTGGATACTGGACCCCTCTGCTCTCCTTCAGACAACCACATGGACCTTCCTTCACTTCCTCCAGTAGGCCACCATTTCCCACCCCAGACCATTTGCCCTTGCTGTTCTCTGACCTGAAATGCTTTTCCACCTTCTCTTTGCCTGGTGAATGACTCACCCCTAGGGCTTCAGCTCATCACTTCCTCAAGGCAGCCTTCCCTGGCCCCCATTCTAAGTCAGGTCCCCCTTGTTATACTCATTCCCCACATCCTTTACTTTTCCTTCAAAACAGCGATCCTAGTAATAAATATGTGTCGTGAATGTGATTATTAGTTCAGTATTGATTTCCCCCCATAGACTGTAAGCTCCATAAGGACAAGGCCCAGACTTTTGTTCTCTGCCCTATCGCCCCCACCTACTTAGCCAAGCACCTGCCACATAGTAGGTGCTCAAAGGTATTTGGTGGATAAATGAATGAATGACCTCATCAGTGTCACTGAGTCCAGCTGCTCACTTCCCTCACCACACCCCCACTGGTCTTGGCGTTACCCAGAATTCCATCTCCGGAATCTTTATCCACTGGGGATTTACTGAACACCAGCTAAATGCCAGGCACTGTGCTAGGTACTGGACACATCCAGATAAATAGGACACAGTTGATCAGATAAATCTTAAAAGTCCCAATATCCCACTCTCTGACTAGATCTTTCCAGGTTCCAGCTTGCTTCTTGACCCCCCACTACGCCTGCTCTTCAACCACACTGAGTGCTCCAGACAGTTCCATTCCTTCCTTCTCCATCCACCCTGGAGTCGTGCATCACTTCACTGCTCACTCCCCTTCACCATCACCCTCTTGCCTCCCTGCCCTCTGATGGCATCCCCAGTGCCACACCTCACCGTGGGACCTGACAAACCATCCACCTGCTCAGCCTGTACCCAGACGACCGAGTGTTGCTCAAGAAAATAAGAAGGGCTGCATGCTGTTGATGCCATGAATGTAAGGTCTTTGGGCAAGGTGGACCCAGCAGTGTAGCCAAAGAGTAATAATATGCCTCGATCAAGTTTCGAATTGATCCCATGAAGACAAGAAAATCTATCAATACCAATTACTACAGAAACATAAACTGAAAACATACAGACACAAATTAAAGCAGAAAAATCATTTCAGTATATTCTGGAAAAATATTTGAAAAAAAAAATCCAAACCTGTCCCTCCTTTCCTGATCATTAAAAGAAGGAGGAGGAGGAGGAGGAGGGGAGGAAGAGGAGGTGGAGGAGAAGGAAACTTCCTTGATTCATTTATAAAAAGCTATCCAGTCTATAGCAAAGTTCATATTCAATAACAAAGCTGCATAAAAACATTCCTATGCAAGTCAGGAGATAGGCCTATCTGCTGTCATCATTACCTTTTACATTTTTTTAAAATTCATGTCCTCTCTAATAAAATAAAGCAATGAAAATGACATAAAGTGTCTAAGCATTGAGAAAAAAGCTACGTATCTCTCACTGTCTATAGCTTATGTGACCTTCTACTTAGAAAACCCAGGAGAATCCACTGAAACACTATTCCTGACCCAAGAGAGGGCTACTGGTGGCCCCACCTCTTCTCTGGACCTACCTGGGCAGCTCCTTCCCAATGGGGAAAGTGACCTCAGCAAAACAGGAGAAACCCCGACCTGCTTGTGCTATGCTCCAGGCTCCGGGCCTGCAGGTCTGTGTCTGGCTGGCATCTCTCATAATGCAGATGGAGGGGGATGGTCTGTGCTCACAAATGCATTTGCTTGCTTGTTTTTTTTCTGATTCCTTAAAATGTCCCTTCTCAGTGCCTCCCCACCCCCCCAAGCTCACCACAGTCGCAGGTCAAAATCCAAGCTCCGTGATGTGGCATTCAGGACTTTTCTGGATCCATCCCGCCTCCTGTCTGGATACTGGACCCCTCTGCTCTCACTCAGACAGTCAGCTCCCGCATCTCCCAAGTGCCACGTTCAGACCCCAAGCCCTCTGCTGTCTTATCTCTGGAACACCCTCCCTCCCCTCAGCTCCAAATGCCTGACATCCTTCCCAGGACCATCAAACAGGGAGGCCAGGGAGGCAAGTGGAAGGACTCAGAAGGGACCCCACATCAGGTTCCTGGGAGGAGAGGAAAGGACTCTGAGTCCAAGTGAGTGGATGAGGATTTGCAAGGGCCGGGAAGGGGGCAGGCTGATCCTTACCTGATGGTGTCCTCCAGGTGCCCCTCCCCCAGGAGCCGCAGGAACATGGCCTGGAGGTCGCTCCAGTACAATGTGCCCTGGTGGGAGTCCGGGCCCGGCTCATAGTTTATGTCCTCACTGACCACCAACACGTCATCCCCACATGCCTGGCAGGACCCTCGGAAGGCCACATAGCCCAGAAGGAAAGCTGAGGGATGGCAAGATGGAGATTCTCCTTGTGCTCCACTCTGGACTCCATAAATCCCCCCAACCCAGGCCTTTCACTGGTGGGGGCGGGAAGACTCTCACCCCCAGTGAAGATCAGCAGGGCTGTCAGGACCAGGTAGGGGGCAGCCCTTCGTCCTGTTGTTGCCCAGAGTCCGAGGTTTTGCCTCCCTGCTCGAGAGCCCAGGTCAGGGCCCCTCAGCTCCATGGGGCAGAAGTGGGCTGCTGGCTCAGCCCCCTCCTCCCTGTCTTCCTCTTCCTCCTCCAGGTGCCACTGCTGGGTGCCCTCCACACGCTTGTAGATGGTCTGAGAGGGTCGTGGGGACAACCTTTGCTGCAGGGGGCA